GTTATTTTATGACTATTTCTGTCTTTATGTGGTTGTTTTATGTCACTTCCAGAGCACTTTGGGGTGGTTTTGTGTCACTTTCTGTGTGTTTGTGGTGATTTAATGTCACATTTTGTGTATTTCTTGTCGTTTTATGTCTCTTTCTATCTGTTTATGTCTTTGGATGTTATTTTACTCTCTGTCATTGTGGTTGTTTCATGTCCTTCCTCTTCACGTTTTTTTCTTTTAATTATTGTTTTTAGGTGATTTTGTTCCTCTCTGTGGTTATTTTTTAGGTCATTTCATTTCTTTGGGTTGTTTGTTTGTTTGTAATCTCTTGTGTGTGTTTGTTGTTGTCTTTATTCCACCTCCATGTGTTTGTTCATGTCACTTTGTTTTGTGTAATTTTGTGGTTTTTCGTCACTTCTCAGCCGTTTATTTCATTTTTTTTGTCTCTGTTGTGAAATGTCATTTTATGAGAGTTTTCTGTAGCTGTGGTTGTTTTATGTCGTTTTTTGTTGTGTTTTGTTTACTTTCGTGTCACCTTCAGCTGGTTTTGTGCCATTTATGTGCTGTTGTTTCTGTGGTTTAATGTTAGTTTGTGTGTCTTTGTTAGCGTTCATGTCATTCTGTGTGTTTTGTGGTGCATAAGTATCACTTTGCAGTTGTTTTTATGTCATTTGGAGCGTTTTTGTTGCTGTTCTGTGTGTAGTTTTGTCGTCATCGTGCTGCTCTGGTCGTCTTCGGTCTGTGCTTCTGTCGTCTGTTGACCGTCTTTGCTTTGTGTTTGTTGGTCTGTTGCTGTTCTGAAGCTCACAGACCTGCCGGCTGCTTTCATTCATTCATTCATTCATGTGATGCGTGTAGAAGTCGGGCTGAGAGCTTACAGCAGCCTCGACGGACTTTATGAGTCGATTCAACGCTCTGCAGCTCGTCGTCCTCGGACCAATCAGAGCTCCTCTCCAGACGTGATAAATCCGTGTTCTGACTTTAATCACGTGTTGGAGCTTCTTCAGGAACCAGCAGCTTCTCACATGTGGAGGTTCCTCAGTTTACATCATCATCTGAGAACCACGTGATTATTAATACAACTAATCGACACTCAGCATCTATAAATATAAATATAATATCTTATTAAAGGATTTCAATAGAACGAGCAGAAGAATGTTTAACGTCAGTGAATTATCGGAAATATCTTATTAAAGGATTTTAATGGAACAATAATGTTAGAAATAATGAATATAATATTCAACATCTTAAAACTACAGAAAATATCAGATTATTAAATGTATAAAATCTTATTTAAGGATTTTAATATGACAATAGTAATAAGAAATCTAACATTCAGCATATGAGAATATTAACAAATATCAGATTATTAAATTAGTTTAGTAGATAACTATATGTAATAATAATAATAATAATAATAATAATATAATAATAATATAATGTCATTTTGTGGTTGTTTTGACGTCATTTTATGCGTCTTTGTAGTTTAACAACATTTTTTAAAAATTATTTTATGCCAGTTTATGTCTATTTGTGGTTTTTTTGGGGTCTTTTCATTATTATTATTATTATTATTATTATTATTATTATTATNCACACCTGTACTCTGTGTGTGCCGCTGGTGTGTGGCTGTTTGTGTGTATTTATACCCTACAGGTGTTTGTGTAGCATGAATGTGATTTAGCTGCAGTTTGTGTCACTGACTCAGAACGGACTCACTGGTTTGTGTGTCTTTGTGATTGTTTCACGTCATTTTGTGCCTTTTGGTGGTTGTGAAGTGTCTCTTTGTGGTTAGCTTAGAGCAGGAGTGTCCAGTCCTGGTCCTCGAGGGCCACAGTCCTGCATGTTGTAGATGTTTCCCTCTTCAAATGATCAGCTCATCATGGACCTCTGCAGAAGCCTGATATGGATCCTGATCATGTGAAT